GATTTTACAAATGAAGATACTGGTAGAGGCAGACCAGGTAGCCTAACCTCTCAGGATCATACAGCTAGTAAATGTGTAAGTGATATCTGAATTCATGTCTTCCTTAGTCCAAGTCTGGCACTCTATCAGCTGTACCACCTCACTGCTCCATTAGATGTGGTAATGTAGAGAAGACCATGTCACTTAACTATGGGCATCCCAAGTGAGGATGGAGGAAAGGATCAGAGCAACATTTATCCTCCCCCCCAAAATAAACTCCCACAAACAATACAAAACAAAAAACTGGGGCAGTGTTAACCCCTCTAAAGCTAGGGCAGCACACTGACCACCACCACCTTCCAGGCCATCCCCCCCCCATATCCTACCCCCTTGCCCCACACGCTGGCATCAAAGACTGCATGGTGGGATGGAGAAGAATAGGGAAGAGATAAAAATTAGGACTCTCACCAGAGATCCTCATGCCCAGTGGTCTTTAAACAATAGCAAGAAGAGGGCTTTCTCCATAAAGTTGTTATAGGTTACTTCCAGGACTTGGCACATTCAACTATTTCTGGAAATGGGACAGAATAAGAGGAGGAGGCAAGGTACCAAGTAGGGGAGGATGTGTGGTTAAGGCAGAGATGTCCTCTTACTCGAAAGAACATTCTCGTTTGCAAAACACCTCCCCTTTTCGTTCCATACTAGAATTGCTCATGGTAGTGGTTTATTGAGCCATCTTCCCTTTTAGAGTGTCAGGCCATAGGATCATTCTCACCTCTATGGAATGCCCTCCCCCTTTTCTTCACCTATCTAAATCCTACCCTTGAACTTCAAGGCTCAGTTCAAATCCTACATAGTCAGGGAGGCTTTTCTCTGAATTTCTCGAAGCATTACTATCTGTCATTAAGTACTTACCACACATGACTATGTAGCCTTTGTAAGGTCTGATGTTTGACTTATGGCATAGGACCATACATTGCATCTCAGAGGTGAAAGAGACTTCAAAAGCCAACTAGTCCAACTGACAACCTGAACAGGAATCCCTTCTGCAACATCCCAGGCAAGTGGTCGTCCAGACTCGACTTGAAGCCTTCTCCTAACAGTACCTCTCTAACCAGACCATTCCATTGTGAGTTGACTTTCATTGTTAGAAAGCTTTTCCTCATGTGGAACCAAAGTTTGTTTCTCTGAAATTTCCACCCTTTGGTCCGTCTTCTGTACCTCAGAGCCAAAGAGAACAAATCGAAACCCTCTTTCACATGGTATCCCTTGAAATATTTAAAACTAGCTGTCATGCCCTACTCCCAAGTGTTCTCTTCTCCAGGATAGATACTCTTTGTTCCTCCAGCCAATGCTCGCATCTCTCATACCCATCCCCCTCTCTCCAGGCCCTCCCCACCTCTTGCTTTCTAGTTGCTCTCCTTGCCTCTACTCTCTTCCCTCCCTAATCCTTCACACAGCTATCACCACAGCCAGTGTGCTATTCCTATAGCGCAGATCTGCGGTGTTACTCTCCTGCTCAAGAAACTCTTGTGGCTCCCTCTTCTAGGATTAAAATACAGACTCCTCTGTTGGACTTTTAGCACCTCACAGTCTGGCTCCAGCCTACCTTAAAATAGGTTTTTTATTCTGGATTTTACACCAAATAAAATGAGCACTTCCATACACAAAGTAGAACAGATAATGAGGGTAGTACATGAAGCTGTGAATCTCTGTTATGTAGTTTGCTTTTCTGTGTAAGTAATAGATGCAGCTGTCTTGATCATGTGTTTTCTTTTGAATTTTCTGTTTGCATCTGTGAATTTTTAAAAAATGCTTCAATAACCTTATATCCATTCTTTCCCTTTCTTCCTTCCCTCTTTCCCTTCCTCTTTCCCTCCCTCCTTTCTTTCTTTCTTTCTCCCTTCCTTCCTTTCTTTGTTGACCATATGATTGCTAGCATTCCTCCATTGGAGGAAAAAAAAAAAGGAAAAACAAAACTCAGAACAAGTCCATACATTGGTCACATTCAGAAATATATCTCATTCTTCATCTTAATCCATCACTTCTTTGTCAGGAAGTGACTTTTGGAATCTGACATTTCATCCATCAAATTTCTTAAGTCTTATAGAATTATCTTTCTCTGAAGTATTGTTGTTATTAAACAGTTCTGGTTATGCTCACTTCACTTTAAATCAGTTCATACAAGTCTTTCCAGGTTTCCCTTTCATAATTTCTTTTTAAAAATTTTTTTTAATTTTTAGGCAATCGGGGTTAAGTGACTTGCCCAGGGTCACACAGCTAGTAAGTGTCAAATGTTTGGTCTGAGGCCAGATCTGAACTCAGGTCCTCCTGACTTCAGGGCGGGTGCTCTATCCACTGTGTCACCTAGCCACCCCATTCATAATTTCTTACTGCACAATAATGTTCCCATGCCATAATTTGTTTAGCTGTCTGCCAGTGGATGGGCACCCCTCAATTTCTCAGTTCTTTGTGACAACAAATAGAACTTCTATAAATAGTTTTGTATTTGGTTTTTTTCCCTCTTTTTTATTTCTTTGGAATATAGACCCAGTAGCAGTACTGCTGCATCAAAAAGTGTCATTTGATGACTTTGGGGATGTAGTTCTAAATTGCTTTCCAAAGAGGTCAAACATGCCTTTGGAGGCTGTATTGCGAGTTACTCCCTTTCATGTATTCTGTATTATAGTCAAGTTGGCTGACTTGCTGTTTCATGTATATGCCACTTCATCCCCCAAGCCTCAGACCTGACGTGTTCTTTCTTCTCTCTGCTACCCCACAATATCCTTGGCTTCCTTTAAAGTTGAGCTTATTGGATAGCTCTGACAGGAATTCCATCCTGGTCTGCCTCTCCCTCTCTACCATCAGTTGCTACTGCTCTCCCCTTAGAATTGTTCTATATCTACTTCATCTAGATTTATTTCTCTGAGTATATGTTGTTCCTCCCCCCCAACAGAATATTTTTGAGGACAAGGACTATCTGTTTTTGCATTTGTATTCCCAGAATTGGCACAGTAACTGCTTAATAAATGCTTATTTTTAAAAACATTATTGCTATCTTTTGTTTGTATATTTCATTTCCAAATGTATCCCACTGCGTCCCCCTTGTTAAAAAAGAAAAAAAAATCAGTTGAGCAAGTATCACCAGCACATCAGTTGAGTTTGACAGCATATGCTCCTTAGAGCCCACTGGCCTCTGCACGGCCCTGCCGCTCCCCCTCTGGCCATGCTCCACCTGTCACCGTCCTTCTTAATGTGTGGAGTCCAGAGGGAAAAGCAGTTCTCGCCAGTGAGATTCTAAGTACCTTGAAGTTAAGGGTTTGCCTTTACTTCTCCTCCTTAATGGTAAGCGTTCCATTAATATTTGTTGTTTGAGTCTCTTCTGCATGTAACATGAAATCAGTCTGAGATCCCTTCTAGCTCTGCAGTTCTCTGACTCTCTTCTGTTTTGTGACAGAGGCTATATGAGTGCTCCAGTGAGGGATGCGAAAGACTTGGAGAAAGCAGACCTGGAAATGGGTTTGGGTTTTTTTTTTTTGAGAATGGACTTGGGAGAGGGGAAAGATTTAAAGAGGAAGCTGTGTGCATGTGTGTCAGGGCTATTCACTCCAGAAAGCCCCTCTTTTGTGGATAACTGTTTCTTTTGCAGATGACATTGGTTGCAGGTTTCTTTTTGATCCTTTGTTTAGAGGCCCAGAATTTAACTTTCCACCCAAATGAAGTTTAGATAGGTCCACAGCAGAGAGGTAGATGTAGGCGGGGGCAAGGAAGGAGGTGGGGAAGAGAAGGGCTGAGTCATCTCAGCCAGGCTTCATTTGCCAGAAGGATCCAGTCTCAAGTTACCGATCCTTGGTTGTGAGGAGAGGGAGGTCCTGATGGTGTTGACACCAACTTAGGACACACATGAATGTCTGGGAGAGGAGGGACTACAGAACCTTAGTTTGGAGACATCATTTGCTCAGGGGTCAGAGCGCCACTCACTCTGCCGTAGCAAAGCCGCAGTCTCTGCTTTGTGCCCAATCAAATTTGTTTGCTTTGCTTTATAGCCTCAGGTTATGTCATAACTTCCAAAGTGTATGTCTCATTTTAAAGAGACACCTGGCAGAGAGCATATTTTTATGGTTTAAATAGAAAGAACATCAAATTTAAAATTGGACAGCCAGCACTTCCTTTCATTCCTGTGTGATTTTTGAAAAGTAATTTCATTTCAATGAGCCTTACTTTTGTTGTCTATAAAATGAAAGGGTCCAAGGGTTTTTCCTGCTGTAAACCTATGGTGCTATAAGAATGGGGACAATGCTGTTCAAAACCAACAGTGGATTGAGAATGTCGTTTTTGCTTGGAAAGGACATTTTATGTGGATTATTTTAAATTAGGGTTGGTTTTTTTCTCTTTAAAATGACAGATAAACAAAGACGACTGGAGGTAGGATCAATATGTACATATAGATGTATAGTTACATACAGTTATACAGACACACATATATGTACATAGTTATATATCTGTATATATTTATATATGTAGTGACCATGGCCAGAAGTGGAAGACCCTTTCATTATGTAGTTTAAACAGCAGTAGCCAAAACTAAATTTCATTTTAAAAAACGATTAACTTTGGCCTTTTTCTAAATGGAGAAATGGGAGAGGGGAGAGGAAAGAGACAGACAACTCTTCTAGGTGGTCGCTGTTATCCCCATTTTACAGATGAGGACACTGAGGCAGACAGAGGTTAAGTGGTCTGCTGGCATGCCCAGAGTCACACAGCTAGACAGTGGCCTATAGATCAGTTGGGGGTGGGGCGGGGCGGGGGTGCTCATCCGTTCGGGAGGCTCTGTCTCACTACGAAGACCCTTGTTTGGGAGCACAGGTTTTCGTGGTTGTGCGAGGACGCCCCTGGCCCTCCTGGGGGAGTGGGTCAAGTCGGGGTCGAGTTGGGGTGGGGGAGGCGGCTCCAATCTGCCTGCCGAGCAGGGTGGGGGCCAGGCGGGGCTGTGAGACTGTCGTGTTGTGTTTCCTCCACAGGGGAAAGTGGAAGTTGAAGCTGGGAAAGAAGGGATGAAGTTTGAAGCGAGCGCTTTTTCCTACTACGGCGTGATGGCGCTCACGGCAGCTCCAGGTAGGTGCGGGCAGCAGCCGCAGCCCTCCCCCTCTGCCCCGCACCCGGTAAAGTCGTCTCCGGGCTCTCTCCGGGCTCTGTACCCGCGGCAGCCCGGGCCAGCGGAGCCACCTCCAGTGTGTTCGCTGTCCTAGAGGTGGTGCTAGGGCGCCACCGTGCGGCCCTTGGTCAGAACTTCATGCTCGGGAGGCCGGCGTGTGTGAGCTGGGCGATCTCCGGGGGGCGTTCTGCTCGGGGCCCTGCAGCCCGGGGCCGCGGGCCACGGGCCCTCTTCCTCCAGACTGATTTCAGTGCCCTTGGAGAGAGCCTGTCCCAACCACCCGGCCTTAGGACAGCTCCTCCTGAAATGGCTCTGACCCTGAGGGAAAAGGGGTGAAATCCTCGTGGGCGGACGGGCAGTCTTGCGGCACAGCTGGGTGATGCGAAGGGAGGCAGGTGCAGGGAAAGCCCTTGGTCCCTCAGCGCCTTGCTGCTTGTCCAAGGTTCAGAGAATGTTTCAAGAAATGTTAGAAGTCGTTTTAACCCAGTACTTCCAGGACACAAGACAAAGCCACATAAGGGCCGAAACTTGCCCAACGTCACATGAGTTAATGACCAGACCAGCCGGCACTAGAACCCAGGTGTGGGGGGCCTTTCTGTGGTCCCGTGATACTTTCCAGTCTCATAGTCTCCTTTACAAGCAAGACTAGGGTTTTAAATGTCAAGGGTCAATGGCAAATAACATCACTTAGAACATGAATTTCAAAATGACCATCCCTTAATTTTTTTTAATCAGATGCAACTTCTGTCTGAGATTCTCATTCCAATGACTGATAAATGTAAATAGATAATAAACATTCTACAAGACCTATCCAAAGTACACTGGGGGAGGATGGTTCCCGTCCCTGGGACCACTGTAAAAGGCCTTTTTCAGTTATTCAGTGCTGATGCCACTGTCCAGCGGGCCATATTTTCTTTCCATATGAATGCTTTAGTTTTTAACAAAAGGAAAATGCAAATAGATCATAACATTTGTTTGTTTATTTAGGATTTATAACCTGCCTCCTTCTGAAAAGGATGTGAAGTGGTGGCAGGTCTGATCATTTATAATTGGACTAATTAAAAATGGAAATGAAGAGAGCAGCAGCAAAGTGCTTGCTGAAGACAGTGATACTGCCAAGTTTGTGGGTCAAATGCTTGTTTTTTTCTTTCTTGAGTTGAAAATGTCCCCAGTCCCAGTTTGGCACTTGTTCACTTTATGGTCTTTTGTGGCTGGACTAACTGTTACCCTCTTGCACTGCCATGTGTGTCTGTAAGGCCTTCAGAACAGCATGTTTTGAAATGTAACCTGGAATTGGGTCTTAAATAGCTTAAGAGATTTCTGGGCTAGGGAAGAGGAAAAGGAATGCTTTTTTCTCCTCTTCCTTCCCTTTGAAAGCAGCGTGTGTGTTTCTTCTTTATTCTAGAAACTATAGTCCTTTGTGTTTCTGGAGGTTATTAATGCTTCTGAATTCCTAGAGAGCAGGAACCAGCTTTTCTCCCCTAACAGTATAAATTTCCTTCCTCAACTTTTGACAGAATCTCACCCTTGTTCTCTCCCTTTTTCAGTTCCTTTGTCCCTGTCTCGTACCTTTGTTGTCAACAGAACAGAGCTGTTAGCAGCAGGTTCTCCAGGTAATTCTGCATGCTTCTTTTCGTTAATGCCCTTAATGGGTCCCCCGCCCTTCCTGGCCCTGCTTCCACCTTGCCTGATGCTGTGACAGTGCAGAGAGCTCTCTAGGAAAGGCCAGCTAGCCAGGGAGGGAGCAGCGCACCCATAGGCTAACACACAGGCTAGGCTTGGGCAGGGAAGAGGGGAGGGAACTTCTGCAAAGGAGTGTGACACGAAAGGGAATGAAAAGCATTTTGACAATTTGTTTGATCTGAATGGATGCCCTAGCATATTCTGTTTCTCAGAGCAGCAGGGAGGGGCAGATCCAGCCCTGGCTCTGGGAAGGGCATGGATGGCATATGGGGAATGTGCAGGAGCCTGAAGGCCCACCAAACCCAAGAAACATGGAAACTTTAAAGTGCTACAGAAATGTGAGCTCTTATTGTTACATTGCACTGACGTAGTAAAAACAAACTCAAACTTGAGGAAGGCAAGGTGCTTCTATGCTAAGAGACCAGTGTCCTGTAGACTGTACATGAGTCATGTTGACTGTTTTCTCTGTCCTTTTATCTGGCAATCAGAAGAAAAGGATGAACATGTTTCCTAGCATCAGTGCTCCGTCTGCTGGCCAGGTGGCCCTCACGTCCCTTGGGCTCTCCCAACTTTGTTCTGAAGTTAGTATCGGGCACATTCCTAACAAACGGCTGATTAGGGGCCTGCAGGGGAGACTGGTCATGCCCAGCTACAGCTTCCAGCTGCTAAAAAGAAAAGAAAAGACTTAATCTTTCTTTAATTAAAATGACATGGCTTTCCTTTAAATTCTAGAATTTTAGAGCTGGCAAAAATATTAACTTATACTTATTTCTTATGCTCCACTTGTTCCTTGTCCAGCGAGGTGCTTAATATTGACGTTGCGGGGGGGGGAGCAAAATTAAATACTCCAGCTCTAAAAGTTTGTATATTTATAAAGCCTTTGTTGCTAGAGTTTGGTATGTTTGGGGGCAAGGCAGTTTGATCCATGGCCTCTTTGAATCCATGTGCTAGAGAAAGACTACTGACTCTTTTTTTGCTTAGCTCTTTTTAACTTGAAAAGGTAAAAATAGTAATATAGTGAAGACAGCTAGCGTGTCTGCCATTTCCAGCCCATCACTGCACATCATGTCTTGGTCATGGTCCCCATGCAGACAGCTTCTGCCCTCTCCCTTAGCCAAGTTTGGAGGCAGGCACTACTATTTCCCCACAGGGTCCTAGAAAGAAAATGCTGTTTGAAATTTGATATTTTAATGACCTTGGAGTTTTCTTAGCTTTGTTCTCTCAAGTTGCAGTGCAGCACTTTGGCCTTTAGTCTCCCAGATCATTTTCCCAACAATAGTAATAGTTCTGGGTTGCCAAGACCTCAGTAATGCTTAGTGCTTAAAGTCTTGTGTGTATAGTGCCTAAGAATTCTCTAAAGGATTCTTCCCTTTTTTACACAAAGATATCTAGTTGGTTGGTTTTTAAAATGAGTTAGCAATCTGAACACCTTCTTGAGTTGAATATATTGGCCACGGATTTAAAAGCTGAATGTATTGTATATTTATTCCACAAACATTTATTAAGTGCCTACTGTACAAAACACTGAAATGCAATTTTTAGGCAGTAAGAAAGAATTTCTTTTGAAACATCCATCTTGTATAAAACCAAGTATGAGGACTCTGAGCTAAGCCCCTAGAGGACCCTTTGATGGACACTAAATTGCTCTTGAAGGCAACTGAATTTCCTTAGGAAATTCAGCCTACAAGTTTTCTAGAAATTGGGAAAGACTAAAAGATGATACCATGTTTTTTATCATTGACTACAATCTGGTCTTTCTGATAGAAGAGACGGTAAAGGGCTTGGGCAAGACGTCTTGTTCTTTAGATGATTACAGAGGATGGAGATGTCATAGATGGTATGAAATCAGTGATTCAAGAGGGGAAGATCCTCAGGAAGTGGGAGAATAAGCAAGGTCAAGAGACTGGTGAATAAGTGAATATGACACAGAGGAGAAAGAAAAAGAAACTCTGTATTGCTAGGACTGCAAAACAGATATTGGGCACTTTCCACAAAAAGTGAATCTGGACTACTTATCAGAGCAGCATAATCCCATTCTGGAATGCTATGGCGAACCAGCCTGACCGGAAATGGTAACAACAATGAAGGAAGTGCCCAGGTATTCAAAGGGAAAAATAACCGAGAAGAATAGCACTTTTAATTAATTAATTAATTTTTACTTTTCAACATTCACTTCTGTAAGATTTTGAGTTCCAAATTTTCTCCCCCTTTCTCCCTTCTCTCCTCCCCAAGATAGTGTACAATCTTATATAAGTTCTACGTATACATTCATATTAAACATATTTTCACATTAGTCATGTTGTGAAGAATTAGAACCAATGGGAGGAACCATAAGAAAGAAGAAACAAACAAAAAAAAGAGAGAGAGCAAATAGTATGCTTTCATCTGCATTCAGACTCCATAGTTCTTTTTCTGGATGTGGATAGCATTTTCTATCATGAGTCTTTTGGAGATGTCTTAGATCCTTGCAGTGCTGCGAAGGGCTAAGTCTGTCAAAGTTAGTCATCATACAGTGTTGCTGTTACTATGTACAATGTTCTCCTGGTTCTGCTCACTTCACTCAGCATCAGTTCATGCAAGTCTTTCCTAGTCTTTCTGAAGTCCACCTGCTCATCATTTCTTATGGCACAGTAGTATTCCATTACATTCATATACCACGGCTTGTTTAGTCAATCCCCAATTGATGGGCATCCCCTCAATTTCCAATTCTTGGCCACCACAAAAAAAGAGCTGCTATAAATATTTTTGTATATGTGGGCCCTTTTCCCGTTTTGGGGATACAGACCTAGAAGTGGTATTGCTGGATCAAGAGGTATGCACAGTTTTGTAGCCTTTTGGGCATAATTCCAAATTGCTCTCCAGAATGGTTGGATCAGTTCACAATTCCACTAACAATGTATTAGTATTCCAATTTTCCCACATCTTTTCCAACATTTATTATTTTCTTGTTTTGTCATGTTAGCTAATCTGTTAGGTGTGATGTGGTACCTCAAAGTTGTTTTGACTTCCATTTCTCTAATCAATAGTGATTTAGAGCATTTTTTCATATGACTATGGATAATTTTAATTTCTTTCTTTGAAAATTGTCTGTTCATCCTTTGACCATTAATGAAATTGGGGAATGACTTGTATTCTTATAAATTTGACTCAGTTCTCTATATATTTTAGAAATGAGGCCTTTATCAGAGACACGGCTTGTAAATGAAAGGAATAGTCTTTTTTTTTTTAATAAACAATTTTTAAAAATTATTTATAACATGTGTTTCTAAAACTTTTGGGTTACAGATTTTCTCCCTTCCTCCCTCCCCATCCACCCTCATTGAAAAGGCAAGCAACTCGATACAAGTTATACATGTGTAGTCATGCAAAACACTTCCATAGTAGTCATGTTGTGAAAAACTTCAGTATATTTCTCTTCATCCTATCCCACCCCCTGTTTATTCTATTCTCTCTTTTGGCCCTGTCCCTCCTCAGAAGTGTTTGCTTCTGATTACCCCCTTTCCCAATCTGCCCTCCCCTCTATCATCCCCCTGCTCTCTTGTCCCCTTCCCCCCTTATTTTCCTGTAGGGTAAGATAGATTTCCATACCCCATTGTGTATGTTATTCCCTCCTTAAGCCAAATGCTATGAGAATAAGATTCACTCATTCCCTAGAAAGGAATAGTCTTTGAAGACTTTATGGTGTTAGATGCCAAAATAACCAAGTACAGAGCATAGTAACAAAGTGAACTTCAAATTTTAATGTGAGGTAGATGTGATCTCATAGGAATCACCAATGCTTGGTGGGAACAGAACTCTTTAATAGAAATGTCAATGAAAGAATATGCTTTATTCAAAAGAAGCACTTAATAGAAAAGAGGTAGTAGCACTGTATGCCAAGAAGGAAGAGAAATTTATAAGCCTGAGATAGAAACATGGTAGAAAGCACGTGTGCAAGGATAAAAGAGAGGCATAGACCAATAGTGTTGGGCCAGGTTTGAATCCTAGCTCTGCTCTGCCAGTGTACCTGGGGGCAAGGCAAGGCAATCTCTGTGGGCCTCAGTTTCCTCATCTATAAAATGAGAAGATTAGAGTAGATTTCCTGTGAGGTAGCTTCCAGCTTTTAAATCTATGACCATGTATGATCGTAAGTTAAAAACTGAAGTATACTGTAGACCATCCATCTGTATGGAGGATATATACCAATAACTTTCTAATACAGATTACAAAATCAACAATCAGTCATCAAAATCAAAAGATAAGCTTAGAGGCGGGAAACTTCAAACATGCAAATACAGCATGAATTATTGACTTACTTTGTGGATAGTTCATCTCTTAGGAGGCAAAAAAGCTATAAGAGTTTCTATTCTGTTAATTCTAATAAAAAAGGAAATTGCTGGTTGGGATAACAGTGAGAATCTTAGGAGAAAGTGAGTGTGTCATAATAGAATTCATACTACCCATAAGAAAGTGTATGTTAACAATAATCAGATATGTTTTTAAGACATCAAGGAAGCATATGTCAGATAATTCAGAGGAACAATAGACATGATTATATTTATTGTTGTCTAGTCATGTCTGACTCTCCGTGACTGCTGAAAAATAGTAGATAAAGGTGAATTTGTATATGGTTGGACAATGATATGCCAAAGAGCACTGAATGTAAGCTCCCTGAGGGCCAAAAATGTTTCATTTTTTGCATTTCTTGGCAAAGATACTGAAGTGGTTTGCCATTTCCTTCTCCAGCTCATTTTACAGATGAAGAACTGAGGCAAACAGGGTTAAGTGACTTGCCCAGGGTCACACAGCTAGTATCTGAGGACAGATTTGAACTCAGAAAGATGAGTCTTTCTGACTCCAGGCCTGATGTGCTATCCACTCCATCACCTAGTTTCCCCTATGGTTACATAGCTGAGACTAAAAAGTTAATATGGCTCAAGATGCAGAAGGAGCTAAAAATGAAATTCTGACTGTATAATTAAAAATTATTCATATATATATATATTGTAGAAAGGGTAGGGACAGGAAAAGAAAGGACTACTGTTTGGAGTAGATGGCATGTTTCTTAAGGCAAAACTACTCAAATCCTCTTTCCCTTTTTTGTTCTCTATCAAGAAAAAAATTTTTTTTAATCAGAATAGAAAGGGTAGAAAAAAACATGTTGGAAAGGTAACAGAAGCCATAGTTTGTAAGAGAGTTCCTATCAGTAATTCAAGGTTCCAGACTCAAATTAATTATATGCAGGGGAACTGAAAGAACTTAGAGAAGAGATGTTGTGGTAAGGAGAGGGACCACAGTACTAGAGATGGCCATATTACTTGATTTTTTCCCCAAAACGGTAAATTCTGACAACTTGTAGAGTCGTGAATTTGATGTTATTCCCAAACAATATTCTCAAAGGAATTTCTAAACAAATGGTTTATGCAATAACCACTAGGTACCAGTATGAGTTCACTAAAAAATCATGCCAAACTCATTTCTTGTGTTCTTGTGCCTAATTTCTTCTTCTTCTTTAAAAAAAAAAGATTAGTAGGTCAGGGAAATGCTGCAGATACAGTATATCTTAATTTCAATTAAGCATTTTCAGGTTATTGTGATCTTCTTATAGACAAGGTAGACTAACATAGGCTGAAAAATAGTAGATAAAGGTGAATTTGTATATGGTTGGACAATGATATGCCAAAGAGCACTGAATGTAAGCTCCCTGAGGGCCAAAAATGTTTCATTTTTGCCTTTATATTCCCACAGTGCCTGGTATACTTTAGACACTTAATAAATGCTTATTGACTTGAATTGCTTAATGGATCATTTTCCACAGGGAGGCTAGGTTCCTAAAGTAGTATATTAAAGAGCTCTGAGGTACCTGGCACTATCCCATTAAAAATGCTTCTGTCAGTAACATGGATGAAGATGTAACAAGCATGATTACCAAATATGAAGTTGCCATAAAACTGGGAACTGTAGATATTCTGTTGGTTGCCAGAAACAAAAATTTGAGATCTTGAATCAGGCTGGAACAATGACCTCACATAGGGGGCAGCTAGGTGGCACAGTGGATAGAGCACCGGCCCTGAAGTCAGGAGGACCTGAGTTCAAATCAGACCTCAGACCAAACACTTGACACTTACTAGCTGTGTGACCCTGGGCAAGTCACTTAACCCCAACCGCCTAAAAAAAAAGCCCCAAAAAACAATGACCTCACATACAAGAGAGATGAAATGTAATAGCGGTGAATATAAAATCCTACCTTTGGTTTAAAAAATAAATTTTTTAAAAAATCAAATTTCCCAAGTACAAAGTGTGGAAACCTGCATTTAACAACTATTTGTGTGGGAAGACACCAAAAATTCTTAGTTGCTTAACATTGTAATGTGGCTGCTAAATAAATGACCACTTCATTATAATCTTGGGCCTTTCTTTATTTCCTATGTGACCTTGAACAAGGCAATTAATCTTGCTAGGCCTCACCTATTAAAAAAGGAGATTGGACTAAATGATCTCCAGCTCTAAAGCCAGGGGATCCCAAGATAGAGGGAGACAGATTTAGGTCTGGTATAACCGAACGCTTTCTAACAGTGAGCGCTGTAATGAGCTCCCCAACACTGGAAGTCATCAGGTCTGATGACTTTTTATAAGAAATGTGGAGCAAGTAAAGATGTATTGATTAGATTGTATTTGAAATGTAATAGTGGAAGAACCCTTAAAGTAGTAGCAATTAAATTTTTTAAACTAAAATTTATTATGAGCCTCATTTCAGTAAGAGAAGGAACATTTAGACTCAGTCCATCTCCACTTACTTATGGGAGAGGTCTGCCAGAACTACAAAAGCTATACCCCTGAAAAGAACTAGACCTGTTTTAAAGGAAGGTTTCTTCTCCTATCTTCAACCTTCACTCCCTTCCTGGCTTTGCTTCTGACTTTCTGGACTTCAGCACCTTGCTTCATCTACAGTCTCACCCTAGAATATCCATCATCTCCTGAGACCTTCTCATCCTGGAACATTCCTCTGCTCAGCTGGCCCCCTTCTCCCATTGGTGAGTTCCTCTTGGAACCTCCATTTTGTGGAAGGGCCCACTCTGGCCAATCTTGATTCCTGTCCTGACTGTGCTTCTAACTTTCTGAACTTCAACAGCTTCATCCTCCCACCCTGGCACTTTATTTTTAGTTTTCAACATTCACTGTTATACAATTTTGAGTCCTAAATTCCTCCCCTCCCCCTCCTCAAGACAGCATGCAGTCTGATATAGGATATACATGTATGATGATATTAAACATATTTCCACATTAGTCATGTTGTGAAAGAAGAATCAGAATAAAAGGGAAAAACCATGAGAAAGAAAAAACAAAAAACAATGGAAAAAAAAGAGAAAATAGTATGCTTCGATCTGCATTCAGACTCCATAGTTCTTTCTGTGGATGTGGATAGCATTTTCCATCATGAGTCTTTTGGAATTGTCTTAGATCATTGCATTGCTCAGAGCTAAGCCCATCAAAGTCAGTCATCGTACAATGTTGCTGTTACTGTGTACAGTGTTCTGGTTCTGCTCACTTCACTTAGCATTAGTTCATGCAAGTCTTTCCAGGTTTTTCTGAAGTCCACTTGCTTACCATTTCTTATGGAACATAGTTTTCCATTACATTCATATACCACAGCGTGTTCAGCCATTCCCCAATTGATGGGCATCCCCTCAATTTCTAATTCTTGGCCACCACAAAACGAGCTGCTATAAATATTTTTGTGCATGCAGGTCCTTTTCCCTTTTTTATGATCTCTTTGGGACAGACCTAATAGTGGTGTTGCTGGGTCAAAGGGTGTGCACAGTTTTATAGCCCTTTGGGGATAGTTCCAAAGTGCTCTCCAAAATGGTTGGATCAGTTCACAACTCCACCAGCAATGCATTAGTGTTCCAATTTTCCCACATCTTCTTCAACATGTATCATTTTCCTGTTTTGTCATGTTAGCCAATCTGATAGGTATGAGGTGGTACCTCAGAGTTGTTTTAATTTGCATTTTTCCAATCAGTAGTGATTTAGAGCATTTTTCATATGACTATAGATAGTTTTAATTTCTTCCTCTGAAAACTGCCTGTTCACATCCTTTGACCACTTATCAACTGGGGAATGATTTGTATTCTTACTTTACTTTTTTTTTTTCTGTAAGGCAATTGGGGTTAAGTGACTTGCCCAGAGTCACACAGCTACTAAGTGTTATGTGTCTCAGGCTGGATTTGAACTCAGGTCCTTCTGCCTCCAGGGCCAGTGCCCTATCCACTGCGCCACCTAGCTGCCCCCAGAATGATTTGTATTCTTATAGATTTTACCCAGTTCTCTATATATTTTAGAAATGAGGACTTTATCAGAGGCACTGGCTGTAAAAATTGTTTCCTAGCTTTCTGCTTCCCTTCTAATCTTGCTTGCATTGGCTTTGTTTGTGCAAAACCTTTTTAACATATATAATATAATCATGTAATGATTATAATCAGAATTCTGGTTCCTTTTGTAAATTTTTTTGTCCCATTAGATTGTAAGCTCCTCGAGAACAGGGCTTATCTTTTTGTTTGTATTTGTATCCGTGATGCCTGGCATATTACCTGGAACATAATTAGCACTTAATAAATGTTTGTTACTTGCCTGCCTTCATAATGGCCCTGAGGGTCTTCAGTAAGTGTATATCTTTGGGGCTATGAATGGGATTAGGGGATGGGGATAATTGGGTTATGAAGTAGTGCTTTAGAGGTTGAGCAGAGATACAAAGCAATAACTGATAGTGGATTCTGAAGAGCTGACTGTTCTCCTTTGAAAGGATAGCTTTAACTTACGGTTAACAATGACATATCTCCCAATCCCAATTTGCAGTATCAGCAAACACACATATCTAAGAATCCCATTCCCAACAAGCATCCTGAAAGATCTTTGGTCCATAGTTTCTCTTGTCCATCTTGAGTAGAGTTAGGCTTTTATTCAAGTAGAAAAGTACCCTTTCTATGACAAACAGTCTCAAGGTCTTTGCTGCTAAGAGAAGTAGCCAATGAAGCCATTTAATGAAGCCAGCTGGCAGGCCATTATAGCTGTTCCTTAGATTAGGGCCTAACATGTCACTTTCTGGCTGAAATAGACAGCATCAGTCTATTGTGTCACACACCAACCAATGGATTCCAGTTCTGTAAGTCGTGACTTATTCAATCAGATATGCTAGGCTGGCTACTGCCAAATGGATCTATGCATTTACAGGTATGTTTCATTTGGAAAACAGAGCTGATTTCATTGGCTACTTCTACCCCAATTAAAGTTGTGTGTTTTGCCTCCTTTCACAGCTGAAAACAAGTCACCTCCTCGTCCATGTGGCTTGAATCACTCTGATTCTCTCAATCGAAGTGACCGGATTGATGCAGTGACCCCAACACTAGGGAATAGCAACAACCAGCTTAATTCGTCTTTCCTTCAAGTGTATGTCCCTGATTACTCAGTGAGAGCCCTCTCAGACATTCAGTTTGTGAAGGTAGGAGAACAGTGACCTGGCTTAAGAAACAAAAATTTAGCAGGAAACTTCTCTAATGGGGCCTTAGCAGGGCACTATAATACTGACAGGATATACTGGTTGCTTACCTTTCCCATGATGTCAGAGTTAGCAAAGGAAACATTCATCTTGTCATTTAAGGAGTTGGTTCACTTCAGTAGATGTTTATTTAGCATGAGTCCAGAGCTGTGACCTGTAGGACAAAGACTGGACCAGGAGCCCTGGCTCTCTGACATTATATATTGCAAGCATCATTGGGTGTCTTTTGAACCCAGAGAGCAGGAGAGAATGAAGGCCAGCATGGCCTGTTTCATGCATGTTCCCGTGGGGGTTTTTTTGGTTTGATTTTTTTCCCCCTAGATAGCTTTTAAGGAGGCATGTTGTAGGGCTGGGTAGGAGGTAAAGGGCATGCTAGTTCTCTAGGGATATAACCACATCTTCAAGAGTGGATTAGGGAAAGCCCTACTCCTCTCCCTCTAAATCAAGGATGGGATAGGAATTTCCTGTGTCTTCTATCAAATGTATGAAATGATTTTATCTGGAGAAAAGTCAGCCTTCTCTGATATAATTGGGCTCTTCTCCCTTTTCTTCAAAATACTACAACAAATTTTTTAAAAGGATGTATTAATTTGAGCCTCCCTTGGAAAAATAGCCCAAAATTACCCTATGAGGATGTCCTTTTTTTTTTTTCCCAAGAGAAGCTATATAGAAGGGAGAATAGAGTTGATTTTACCTAAAAGATATTGCTGTGCTTTGATACAGAAATCACGGAGAATTTTCATCTAGGAATCCCAATTTGTCCCATGTCAAGTGTCAGTCTTCTTCTGTGTGTTCTGCTTACATTTTTCCAAGACAACTCTAAATGTTTACCCAACATAATCTTCACTGTAGCCCATATTTGTCTGAAGAGAGTGACTTAAGATGCCTAGGAACTTGTCCTTGTAATTATGAGACTTGATGATAATTTTTTTTGGAGGCAATCAAGATTAAGTAACTTGCCCAGAGTCATATAGCTAGTAAGTGTCTGAAGCCAGATTTGAACTCATGTCCTCCTGACTCTTGGGCTGATGCTCTATCTTCTGCACTGCCTAGCTGCCCCATGATGATTTTTATACTGAAGCTTTGAGGCATCTGCCCATCTTGATATTTTCACTAAAGAGGAGATGTCCACTTTCCCTCTAGGGAGTCATTGAAGGAATGGGCTTAGGGGCAAAACACAGTGAGGAGAGTCCTCTCCTAGGGTGGGCCATATGTGATACATTCTATAGAAAAGAGAACTGAAAGGATGAGTTCTCTCATCCTGCTTCTCCCCTCCCCACCACCATTTGTGTTTCTACTCCATCTTCTCTTTCTGCCCTAGATCACAAGACAGCAGTACCAAAATGCCTTGATGGCATCCCGGATGGACAAAACTCCTCAGTCTTCAGACAGCGAAAACACTAAAATTGAACTGACTCTTACAGAGCTGCATGATGGGTTGCCAGATGAAACGGCTAACCTTCTCAATGAACAGAATTGTGTGACTCACAGTAAAGCCAATCACAGTCTGCATAGTGAAGGCGCCATCTAGGACTTCTTCCCGAGCCCTCTCGCCCTTGATTGTCATGGTCTGAAGCAGTGTCCTGCCACGTCGCTGCTCTCCTCGGTCTCCTTCACAGGACCCCCTCTGGCCCTCTCCCCTGCCTTCTCCCCGTCTGACTGCAACTACCATTAGTATGTGCTCATATGCCGTGCTGCCTCCTGCACCATTCTGAGACCAAAGACTTTGTGCCCTTCCTGGGAACAGCAAAGGAAGCAATGCAAGGGATGGCAGTGGAGGCAGAGACACCGAGCCACCTGCCCAGAAACAGTGAGCCGGATTCCAGACATGTGCTTCCTCCTGCTCCAATAGAATCACGTCTATTTTTCCGGCCAGACCTTTTATCCTGGTTCATTTGCCTCCTTCTTAGATAAGCATGAAGAAGTTTAAAATTGTTGCAGTTTATTTTTTCAAGAGATCATGTTTTTTAAAAGTCTTTTGCAGAGTTTTCAGTTGTTTTTGTTCTGTCTGAACTCTGCTGTGATCCCATGAACTGATCCTGATATGGTGGGGTTTGCCACTCCACCCCTGTGATCTCTCGTTTTTTCCCAGCAGCCTCCTGGATAGGCAGCACCATCATTCCCACGTGAGTCCCTCTACCCTGAAGGATGCAGTGAAGAAAATGGGGTCGATTTAACTACCACCACCGGACATACTAAATTTGCTATTGAATGGCAGTGGTTTGGAGAGCAGTCTGCTGGCCACGGGGGATTTGACGGTCAGCTGGGCCTCTTTCCCTCAGGAAGTCTTAGAATTTGATTTGGAAATGTGGGTTTGCTCCCACACTAGGGAATTTTAACAACAAAATGTGTTTTATTGAATTTTAAACTTGTTGGATAATAGAACAATGGGCCTGGGGAATATTCAGCCTATCAGACTGGTATTCAGCCTAGGCAGGGATCTCAGGTTCAGGTCAGCCTTCCTCCCAACCCTGGGGCATCCCTTCTCTGCCAGAGGAGGGGGAGAGGACAAGGAGACCACCCACTCGTTCCTCAGCTTTAAAGAGCTCTAATTCCCTTTCCCCAAACCTCGTTATTCATCCAAGATGCTGCTATACTGATGCCAAAAGGAAATCTTCTCTGGGGCTTTTCAATAGAAATATGGTATGGACTCCAAGTCTTCTCTCCACACTGAAATCTGTCTAATTGTCTGAGAAGGCATTTCTACTTCAGGTTGTGTTCTTCAAGATACAGCATTCAAGCCTCGGTTTCTAAGGGGGTGGGGACTCACTGGGGACTTTTCAGGGAAGCAGCTCTTCAGTTTTCCTTCCTTTCCCTCTTACTGTTCTTTTAGATGTTGTTTGGTGGCCAAGTTATGGAGAGCCACCAGCCCCCCTGGGCAGCAGGGCTGTCTGTGATGGATGGTTTGCAGAGCTGTGGGACAGGACAACCTGGGCCCCATATGGGTTTCCAGAAACCAAATGTGTATTATGGCCAGTATATGTATGTTGCTTCTAATTTAATACCAAATGTCGTCATCTGTTGTCAAATTAAGGCCAATGGGCATTGCTTGACCGGTCAGACTTTCTACTTGTCCACCTTTGGAGTACTAGCTTAAAGGAAATGTGCCTTTTGATGGCAGTATCCATATATTGAAATGAACCAGTGTTGACCATGGCTTTCATACTGACTTTCAGTACATACTGCATCCAGACACTAGCAACCTATGTAGCAGTTCCTCCTTTCCTTGTTCATTTCCAAGTCTGTTTGTCTTCAATTTGAAGCGGTGGGGCTAAATAGCTGCCTTCCCCCTCCCCTAAGGGTATTTCTATTCCTTTGGGTTCTAAATGGCCCCTAGCTGGTATCTTGGATTCATCCTTCAAGTAGGGGAAGAGGAGGGGTGGCTTTCTGAGAAGATGGATCATTTCAGCCACAAAATGTGACAGGAAATTGAATGTTTCACTGCCTGACTGGATGAGTGGTTGAGCTTGACCCAGTGGAAGGACTTGGTGTTCTCCCAAAATGCTTTGTTAGCCCAGGATTCTCCTCACTGGCTTGGCTGATAGCCCTCAGAGACGTACTCAAGCTTAAAACACTCGGCAAAAGGAAGAATGTGATGCCTGCACCTGTTTTAGGTGAAAAAGGGGCCGAGGACATCCCTCAGCAGAGAGTAGATCTGCTCACAACAAATTCCATCCTAGACAAAAGATTTCGTTTCCTGTTGGGTTCTTAAGGGATTGATGAACAGAGCAGTTTGTTACTGTGAAGAGAAGGAATTGGGATAGGCACTTGGGAATGAATGGCCTTTAATAAGACTGACCTGAGCTTCAAGATAGAGTATTTAGAGGCAGGCTGCTTGGTTGGTCCTGGAGGATTTCCGATCTGACTCTGCCCAACATCCTGGAACTTTAGCTTCACCAGCTCTCAAGGCTCTTCCCCCCACCTCACCCTCGTCTGTCTCTGTCCTTCTAAATAGAGCCCTGCCCCAAACTTTTGGGCACAATTTCCTAGAGGAAAGCTTAACATGTTAATGGCCAAAAGAGAGTCCTTTTCCCTAAGGTCTAGTGGTCTTGTGTTATCTCGGATCAGTTCAGTCTCTTGGCTGGGTTGGGAGAAACCCTAGAGTATTGTGAGATTTTGGGGAACAGACTAAAACACTTCCTGCTTACTTGACTTTGGGCCCAAGGGGGAAAATCCCTCGGTTAACTCATTGACTTATTGAAGAATGTGTTCTTGTGTGGAGGAACTCATGGCCAGGAAGTAAAGTCCTCAGTACAAATTTCTGTCCCAGATGTTTGTGGATATCATTCTAATTCATTTTCTGGAAATGAAAGCCAATACTCAGTCATGAATATTAATATAAAACATCAGGTAATCAAATGCAATTTCTTTTTGGTTTTTGAAAGTATTTTTTGTACTAAAATTGGAATATAAGAGTACCTCTGATATAGTAGGGATTTTGAACACTTCTAAACAATACTAAGAGGTCTGATTCTTCAGTATCCCCATTCTGGCCTCATTTCCACTTTGGGAATTGACACAACCATCCCTCAGACTGATGCAGAGGAGGCACCTTAAGCTGAGTTGAGCTCTCTAAGGACTCACTGGTTCATGCCTCCCTAGGACTGTTTTATTTTGGCTTAAGACTTTCTCCTTCAGTTTCTGTTTGGGTGTTAGTTGACATGGATCCATGATATATTTCAAGCAAATAATTACACAAAGAAAGGGAGGACAGTGTTAGTAATTAGCGTCAAGAACATCTGGGAATAATACTCCTGAATTATTGTGTTGGGCTATAGTCTGCTAAGAAGAATGAAAAACAGATAGATTGCCTTCATGAGCTATGAAGGGGTGCCTCAGGATCCTAAGACTCGAGTGGACTGGCTCATTACTGCCCCAATCCAGGAATTGGGAGCCAAGGCTATGTACAATAGAAACCCTTGAAATAAGGAAGCCTGAGGGAGGGGATAGGTTGGGAGCCAGAGCAAGGCAAGGTGGTAGGACTGAGTCTTGAAGGGTCATGATTGTCAAATTTAGAAACAACATAAATGAACCACTGTGATGATGTGAAAGCCCTACCTGGAATAGGATCCCAAATGCTCAGCAATTCTCAGGGTTTCCTCCTTTTCCTCTACACTAGCTCCTGCTCTGCACTCTTTAGACAAGGTGAATTCTTTGCCAATCATTGGGAAACAAGGGCATAGGATTTGGTCTTAGAAAGTTGAATTGCTGGTCAAATTGAGTTTTTAGTTTTTACTAAGTTTGTACCCATAGGAAAGAATGCAGCACGTGACTGTTCTCTGCTCATCTAACTTTGGCACCCAGGTTGTTTGAGTGGCCCAGGAAAATTGTGCACTCCAACATGCACAAGTCCTTTGCACCTAATGGCCCAGCGCTGTTAGAAAAGATAATTGTGAAAATGTGAGATTTTCTCTTTGATCAAGCAGACAAAGCACTTGGCAAACATTTCTCAAGACAAGAATTTGAATCCAATTGAGACCCAGAAATTCCCCCTCAAATTCTACCACATAAGTCCTTATTTATACAAGGTCATGGTTCATAGCTCCCTGAGCCCTATAGTAACATTTGTTAGGCAGCTGTGGTTAGGTCCAGGAAGGCAAGCACTGCTGGAGTTGGCATTCGGGCCCTCAAATCTCACTCGTCATTTCATCCATGAATGTGTTCACCAGAAGGACAGTTCCAGTTAGATTTGCTCCCTGGGGCTGGCAGTGAAGATGCCCTGAAAAGTCTGGAATGGAAAGAGCTTCACTCTATCCCCAGTGATTGAGAATGGAGGGGTTGATAGAAGTTCGTTTAGAGCATTGCCCTGGATTGGTGTTATCTCCTCAATGAATTTTTGATTGGAATAACAGTCCTTTCTCTGCTCCGGTCCTACCAGAGAGGGATTATTCTTAGATGAAAGTAAATTTAAGGAGTTAGGAAAAGAAAGTAAAGGTTTGGTAGCATATTCTCTGTGTGTGTGTGTGTGTGTGTGTGTGTGTGTGTGTGAGAGAGTGAGAGAGAGAGAGAGAGAGAGAGAGAGAGAGAGAGAGAGGCAGCTAGGTGGCACAGTGGATAGAGCACTGGCCCTGAAGTCAGGAGGAACTGAATTCAAATCTGGCCTCAGACCAAACACTTGACACGCACTAGCTGTGTGACCCTGGGCAAGTCACTTAACCCCAATTACCTAAAAAAAAAAGGGGAGAGAGAAAGAGAGAGGGAAATCAATGAATGTGTGTTTAGGCAGAGGGGGACTCTAGACTCTCAAGGCTAGTGTGGTAGGACTTCCAAGTCTTCTGATTCATTACTAAGAAAATCCTCCTGCCTTGAACTTTTCACTAAACCATTAAGCTCTGGGCAAACAAGTTTCCCTCCATTAGGCTTTCCTCACTCAGTTTAATTCTCTCTCCAGAGTCTTGGGTTTGGGTTAAGTTGCTATAGATTCTCTTGGCATAGACTGAGGTCACAACATGGATAGGAAGGAGATTCACAGAATCAGATTTTTTTTTTTACTTGATTAGTCATTGGACCCTACTTGGATGGATTTCTCGTACCTCAGATTTATAACTCCTGATTTTAATCACAATTTCCATTCTCTTCAGCAAATTTGATTTGGAAGCTAAATTTAGAAAAATCTAAATTAAAGTTTATTCTGCACCCCTCCTTTTGAGGAGTAAAAGTTATCCACCTGCCAAGCCTACATTAGGAAGGAACTTCTCATAATTCAATCCAGGGGTCACCTCTACCCTACTTTTCCTCTTCTTAGGAGAGGCTTCCCATTCCTGTAAACAATCTTTTCCTAAGGCTCTGAATGGAAGAACCCATTAGGTGTGCAGCTCTGGTGCTTTCTAGATTTCTCTTTGGAAAGAGGGACAGAGTAGGGAGGAGTAAATGTTGGATTCCCTTCAGCCACTTTTTACCCTCTATGTGCATCTGCCTCAAGGTTCACTTCCCAGAGAACTGTTGTCAACCATCTTTCCAGACTGCCAATGCTAGTCCACTAGCTGAGATGAGGCAGCTAGACTTCTGAAGTTCTGAAGTCACAGAAAGGAGGCATTACCTCCTGGTAGCTTTTTCAAGAGAGGAAACTTGGCTGCAGCACTTAGACCATCTCCTCCCTTCTCTCTCATCCAGGGAATTCACCTGCTACTCTGGTCTCTGGGATGTTAGCTCAGCTATGCTCTCTGTCATATGCTGGAGCTGCCTACGTTATCAGAATTCTGTTTTAATTATCAGATGGAAACAGAGTCTATAATCTGAGATAGCTGATGTTTTGGGATGTATCTGTGTTCATGCACAGACATCTGTACCACCTCACAAGATCTGACTAATGGTGCAAAGCACTGTAGTCAGAGCTGCCCAGTTAGTAGGATATATAGGGAGTGCTGATAGGTACTCTTCTGGAACCAGACCTGAATGGAGTGATTTGGGATTTCTAGAGACCCAGTTCTTACTTATCCTCCCAAGAATCTGCCTGAGCAAAACTACTGAATAATGCCAGGAAGGGAAAGGGAGTGGGGAGACTCATGGGGCACCTGAGGACTGTGACTTCTCTACAGGATGGAACTGGATACCATCAATGGAATCCTTTGGCAGGTCACTGGGAAGCAGGGAATTTGCTGTCACCACTACTTTGCCTTTAAACTGTTGGTATCTAAGATGTCCCCAAAGACCAGGGGGAGGCAAGAATAGTGAATGAGGTCCTTGTCCTTTTATTCCCATGGCTAGCCTTACATACCGTCTGGCTTCAGCTTAATCTTCAAATGTTGCCATTGCTCCGTGCCAAGGTCAATTGGGAAAGGGTTTGAAACCCTTTCTAAAATTTAAACTTGAGATCCTTGGAGGGTGGGGGTGGAGGAGTAATGACTTCTCTTATTCCTGCAATCCTTTAAATCCTCAACTGTACATGCTTTATTTTATTTTATATTATTATTATTATTATTTATTATCATGTAAATACATCCTTCCTATTTTCTTACACACTTGAAGGTGAGAAATCCTGTCTGATTTGTAGCCCTTACATCTTGAGTCTAAGATTTTGCTATCTCATTAGACAGGAAGGGAAGTCATACCCTAATTTTGTACCCATCAACTTGACCCCAGGATCTTCTCAGACCCTTTCTTCTAGGAGCAGAGGTTGAGGATGGAGACTATGCCTTGACCTTGCAGGCTACACTTGCCTCATTAGGAGACTTCAGTAGTGATTGGTAGCAACCTTTTGGCGAAGTGGGGAATTGTCTCCTGTGGGCTACTGAAGAGGCAATTCCTCAGTGTCTTCCCCTTGCTGCAGAGATGGTTCAGGGTCTGTGCTTTCCCTCTTCCCCTTCAGGGAGTTGCTCTTGGGTTTAGGTCTCTCAGAGAGACCTCACACTTAGAGAATCTCAACACATCGTTAGGGTTGCTTTCAGAGTCTAGGGGTGGGATGAATTGAGGCTCAGTGGAAGAAGTTGTGACGTTACAATCAAGGTGACTTAGCTTGGAATGACTTAGGAGTTGAAAGGCTGGTGGGGGAATGACCAAGTGGAGTATGATGGGGTGGAGATGGAAGATAAATTATGATGTTTTATTCAATGGATAACCAACAAGCCTAGGCCCTAGGGATATTGGCATTTGTAAAAATGGCACATCAGGCAATCTCTGCCTCACCCTTCTTGGCTGTTTTGGACAAGCTTACCTTTAATTTCCTCTGCCGAGTGCCAGGCCCCCAAACCGGAATTGCCTCCATTTTCCAACCTCAGATTGCAGAATCTGTCCGGACCATGGAGGCTGCCTTGCCCTATTTGGGATCTTAAAATGCCTTTTTTCTTTGATTTTGAGGTCCCCATTTCCCCATGCAGTGACCATTCCCTTGCCAGCTCAGGGTGGCCAGTGCAGGCTGCCTTGGCCTTTAGAGAGGACTCTTCTTAGGGTCTGATTTTCATACTCTGGTCTTTGTTTATTGTATCATAGTGTATATTATGTGCTTTGCTGAGATGGAGGCTTCTGAATCCAGTATTTGGGACTGTATCCATAAACCTGACTAAGCACAATGACAGTGTCGGATAATGTGTATACATGTCATAAGCTGATTGTCATCCTGAATGCATTTTATAATTCAAATGATGTTGTAGATTTACAATCTCTCCTATTTATTTTGTACTGATTTATTTGTATATTTTGTGATTTGTTTAAAAAGGGTTTTATTCTTTTTAGATAAAATGGTGATTTTCTGTTCAATTTTCTGGTGGCTATGTGTTGTTGCCTGTTCCACAGGATGCTAAAACCATGTCTTTTTCATCCCGACTCCTCTCCATGTTCTGCTCAGCTTTCCTGACAGCCTGGCAGCTGGGCAGTTTCCTGGCTTGAGCAGTGCTACTCACCTGCCTCCAGCTTCAAGTCTGGTGAAAATGATTCCAGTCTAGTGCTTCCCTTCTCTTAGTAATGTCATAGCATCCATCCTGCTCTCTTGCCACGGCCCCCCCCCCCGCCCCGCCACCCCCAGCACACTGATCTGGATGTGTGGCTCTGCTCGAGCTTCTCAGAATTCTACAGAACCCCTAGCTCTGCTGAGCCACTTTGTATCCTGAGCAAAGCACTGAACTGCCCGAGAGCCCAAGATTGTTTTCAGGCTCTGCACTTAGACCTGATTCAGTCGGCCCCCTCCCTCAGAACCATCTGCACAGAGGAAGGAAGAAGGCTGGACCCTGAGGCTGGGCAGGGCAGCAGCAGGTGATGGGGGGCACTCAGATGCTTTGGGAAATCAGAATAGAAAGCAGTTCTCTAGGTCATCAGCCCTTGTGGTCTTCATAATCCTGTCATGTGCTGTCTGACCTCATCGCCTTGTTTCATCTCTCCTTTTGTATTTCTTAAACTGCCTCCTTACACTTTTACTACTCTGTTACTTAAGCCTGAAGGTTTTCCTGTTTCTAACTTCGAGAGCCCCCGTGAGCCCAGCTGCGGAGCTCACCTTCCTGGCGTCCTCTGCTCTGGCTCTTTTCATCTGTCTGGGGTTTCGAATGACATTCTCCCTATGAATCCAATTTCTTGTTGCTCAGTCCTTTCCTTTCCCTACTGTCATGTACTGATGTACACCTTTACTCTTTGCAGTCTGCTACATTTGATTTCCATTCGTCCTGTGGTTGGAGACCTCTTCTTAAGGAAGAGCTAGTGGCCTTGCCTCAGTTTGATTCAGCCCCGTACCCCAGCCTTGTCCCCAATCACTTCTGGAAGCAGAATTGTGCACCAATGAAATCTTCTTTTCTGAAGGTTATTTGTTGTCCCCCTTCTCCCTTTTCACAGTAAACCTGCCCCCTCTGGCCGGTGCTTTCCCAGTCATTTATTTTGTCTGGCTCCAAGATCGACTCAGGAAATGTGTCAAGGGAAGTAGAGGAAGTGATTTTTTAACTTGTGAGGACAACTACTTTGATGCCTGTGATGTCTCTTTGCATCCAGGGGTGCTTTTGGGGAGGGGGGGGACACAAGGTTGGCTCAGTAGACCAGATGCCCTTCCAGCACATCTTTTCATCTCAGCACGTCTAATGATGGAACCCAAATCAATCAAAAGATTCTTTGGTGAAAGTGATCAGAGCAAAAAGATTGACTAGAGTTGGTTTCTGGAAATTGTCCTTTTATACTTTTGGAAGGGTATTGACTTTAATAAAGAGATGATTCCTAATTAAAAAGCCGAAAACAGTTGAATTATGTTGAGTGGCTAATAAATACTTTTGCTTTCTTTGTATACTGGTTTCATCATTTTCCTCCAACAGACTTCCACAAACATTGATTTCTACCTGTTTTCACTTTCCAATTCACCTTGGAGGCTAAGTGGTCTCAGTACATGGGCAGGATTCTTCATGTTTGCAGGTCAGAGAATACAGCTTTCCAGGAAAGCCTACGAAATGTAAAAGCCAAGGCTGCAAGGCAAAATTCTAATAGCTGATTGACTGTGTCAAAACATGACTGGGGTAGACAGATCTCAAAGCCCAGCAATCTAAGTTTTGAGGAAATGCTAGGGATGACGTTCTGTAAGTAGCG